AACCCGATGTTATGTAAAGGAAATAAGCGAGAACAATAAGAGATTAGTATATATACCAGTATTCCTTCCTCCAAAGCTAGCCTCTTCGTTGCTAACCTATAGTGTTTCGAATGATCCTCTTTCATTTTTATAGTTATCTCGTTTCATAATGTTTATTGCCGAATAGGTGATTGCTAACGTGTAGTGTACCGTAAGGTACATGGCGAAGTAAAAAACAACCCAATACGAAAATATCAAATTTGTAAGCCTGATCAATTCTCTTTACCAGGACTGCCTCCGGGAATCACACTTATCTCTGATGGTTCAGCGCCAACTACTTATGTTTTAAGGATGTTAAAGATTAAGGAAACCATAAGGTCAAACCAGAAAACTTTGAAAAAAAGTTCGATAATTTCTTACTTATGTTTTAAGGATGTTAAAGATTTTGTCGGATTGTCAAATTGCCGAAACATATATGTGTTCTTTGTCTTATAAACAATCTCTTTGGCTTTGAAGATCATGTAAATAACATCACCTGTTTAGACAAACCTCGCCTCAAACAATTAGAAATACATGTCCTATTAATCGCAAAATCCTGCAAACGAAGCAAATAAATCATTGGTGACTTTACTTGATACATATAATAAAACAATATACTTGTGCGATATATTTCAAGATAGAACAATACCATATATAGAAGAAGAAAAAAAGCATGATTCATAAAGCATTAGAAGAGACTCATTAATGAAGCAAAAATCAACCAGCTATAAACATGCAAAAGTCAATGTACCATAGATTGAATCGATATGCTATATTGAATATTAAAGCACCGTAAATATGTCATGGATGTATTAAGAAATGAACCGATCGATTAGAAATCATGAGATTACTTACCTCGATCCAAAACAGAAACGCACGTCAAAGAAGTCGCAGAGATAAGAGATAAGAGTCGCCATCGGTAAACGGAGACGGTGCATGATTAATTAGGCTTATTACCTCTAGTCGTAGCACTCCGATCAACACCGTATTTTGAATTTTGATTCCCATTAGTAGAAGCCAGTTATGTGCATTTAGTGGTTTATGCATCCTGGTATTCGAGTTCCTCTTCTGATCATAAGCAATTTGTGGTAGCCGAAAGCCCTAGGCTCCCAAGAAAGCACTTTAGTCCACTGATCTCCTCTCTTTCCTAGTCCCTCATTTCTGAAATTCGAAACAAGTTTAATAAAAAATTCCCCGAAAAACAAAAAAAATCGGCCAAGATCAAGAATTGAACAACAGTTGATGCACCTCTCAGTAGCAGCTCGTCGGAATTAAGAAAGATCGATGGGAGCAGATTCATTGTTGTTGTTAATCGGAAGAGAGAAAACTCCAAAAACATCAAGAGAACAATCGTTAACATGAAAAGCATAAACAGAACCAACATCAATGTCGACCATTAGAGCACACAGCCGTCATCACTGCTTTTGACATCGTGGAAGGATTCAATGGTTTATATTATCGTTCAAATAATCTCTAGCATATAAACTGAAATGATAAAGTAAGAAATTGAAATTAAGAATACCTCAAGAGACAAATTAGAGAGATTCATGAGAGATTATGTAGAATAAATAACAGTTGAGTATATGAGAGATTACGATACTCAATAGCAAATATATTAGGAACAATGGAAAACCAAGAAAAAGAAAGAAACAAAATTCATACATGTGTAATAAAGATAAAACCTACAAAACGAAAAAATATTTCACCATAAAAAAACAATCCATGATTACATCACCAGCCAAACGAACGAACAAAAGAAGTAGTAGGAAAAACTATAAAATAAAACAAAGAACTAATATAAGCAAAAAAGGAGGCGATTCAAAATTTATAAGCAAGAGAGGAATAGTATCTCGGT